ATTTAGAATTTTGCACCAAAAGGAACTTAGAAAACTTACCTAACCTTATTATAACAAGAACAATTTATTTTAGCCTAACCCAACTAAATATATTTTAGATTTGTTTGCAATATTTAATACTAAACAACACAATGAAATATATTTTTTTCGTTAGGTTCAGAATGATTTTGGCGAAATTATTGCATACACAAATTTTCACTTGTCCTATATGGCAAGATGAGCGTTGCTATTTAAGCCAAGATCGCAAGTTCTGCCTATTCGGCACGACATATATATATATATATATATATATATATATATATATATATATATTATATATATATATATATATATATATATATATGTCGTGCTGAATAGGTAAAAGTTGTGATTTTGGCTTATGTAGCAACATACTTCTTGACGAATAGGACAAGCGAAAATTTATGTATGCAATAATTTCGCAAAAATCATTCTGAATCTAACGAAAAAAAATATATTTCATTGTGTTTGTTTATTATTAAATTATTGCAAACTTATCTAAAACATATTTAGTTGGAATAGGCTAAATTAAATTGCTCTTGTTATAATAAGGTCAGGTAAATTTTCTAAGACTCTTTTGGTACAAAATTATTAATTTTATATCAACATACCTTCACGTACAATTAAAAAAAAATCATGCCGTATCATAATATGTCGAAAATTTGTTATTAATACCTCAACGTTCCGACAACTTTCCCAGGACACGACTTCAGGTGGTCAGCGGGTCTGCAACTGTCACTCTACGCTACTCATAATATCAATATACTAATCAGTGGAAAATCTGGACAGGGAGTAGGGCTAAAGGGATAGAGAAAGGGGAGGAGGGAACATAAAGGACCGAGAAGCTGGTGGAGCATTAGCTGCTATGATTGTATAGTGTTATATTTCGTTTTTGTTCATGGGAGGATCGATGAGTCAGAGACCTCAGTCACATGACCAAGAGCTCACCAGAGATGATAATATATTTTTAAGGCCCGCAAATTTTTCCAAAAAAAAAAAGGCACCACTTTCCCTTTCACCTATCGGGCGTGAAAGGGAAAGGGGAGGGGAAAAAGGAGAGGAAAGGAGAAAAAGAGAAATTCCTTAGGAGGGGGAAAAAGGGGGGGTTGATGAACGAGCGAAATGGCTATAAATATTGCATAAAAACCAAACTCCGGTTTTATTTTTAAGTTAAAGTCGAATGGTAACATCTATGTAATTTTAAAGTTACTTATGTGGGGGTTTATTTATGTAGTGTCTACGCTAGTGAGCATTTCATGCACCACACCCCCAATGTGTCTAAAAGTTAACGGGAACTTTAAAAGGGGTCCAGGAACGGGGCCCCCCAAATTTATGATGACTCGCAATTGCAGTAATTATCAGCAGGCGAAGAAAAACTAAGACGAGTCAAAAGAGTAAAAGGGGAGAGGAGAGACCACAACGCAATTCGAGACGAAACGTTTTTCTAATCTGCGCTAGTTCTCCTCCCACAAAGACCTTACTTACCTCCATTTCCCCGTCTTACTCGAGGGGGCAAATGGGGCCAATTCCCACTGATCCCAGTTTAAATTTACACCTTCACAGCCCCATAAGGTAACAAACCAACTCTCTGGTTTTAATTTATTTAACATACTCTACATGAATGCTGTATCAATGATTATGGGACAAACATGTAAAATCTGACAACTGACCAGCTGTTACTAGCCAGTAACAACGGTCAATAAATTTGGGTTGTAACAGCTGGCCGTAATAGATGGTCTAAAGCTGGCCCAAAAACAGTGGTCGTACAGCTGGTCAGTACGCTGGTCAATAACATGGTCGGTAAAAGCTGTCGGTAACAGCGGGCAGAAAACGCGGTCGTAACAGTGTCAAAAACGTGGTCGGAAACAGCTGGTCATAACAGCTGGTAATAACAGCTGGTCGGTAACCTTGGTAGTAACAGCTGGCAATAACAGGGGTGGAAACAGCGGTCGGAAACGCGGTCGGAAAACAGCTGGTCGGTAAAAGGCTCTCAACGGGCGCACATGCTCCCCATAACAAAATATAAGGTCACCACCACACTTCGGGAACACTTTATTATATATTTTAAGGAATGAGGCGAAGGGAGAAGCAAAACAAAGTGAAACAAGTTAGAATAAAGCAGATGCAGTAAGGAGGGTTGGTAACACATGAATACGTCAGTGGAAATATGTGAACGAGGCAAGGGAGTGTAGAGGTGATAACACGATGTCTGTCACTCGTAGGAGTTCCCGAACTGGGACTCCCGTAGTTGCAACTGTCTTCTTTGTATCTTATGTCTGTAATAACTCGGGGCCTCCTACGAGTGAAATACCCTATATATATTCTAACACTCGGTAATATTATATATAAAATTGTTATTGATTTGTTACTAGAGAGGATGAGGGTATTTACTTGTTTTGGAGACGACAGATACTTAAACAAGTACAGGAATTATTCCATTTTGGGTTCTTGCCTCAGCGAGCTTCAAGTCACAGGCAGCTCACTGCAACCTTCAAGTTACTAATTGGATAGATTTTAGCCATTGTGTATTTACTAAGAGCATAACACTGGGGCTCTGTGTTGTAGATTGTGTGTGTACCCACCTAATCGTGGTAGCAGGGGTCGAGATATAGCTCCTGGTTATGTGTGTGTGTGTGTGTGTGTGTGTGTGTGTGTGTGTGTGTGTGTGTGTGTGTGTGTG